CATTTCACCAAGATACTTAGCCAAAATACACCCACCAGCGGCTCCCGAACGGACGACGTCAGGGCATGTCAGCCAATCTCACATGCAGAAGTGTTAAAAGCTATAGAAAGAACACAAAACAAGAAAGCCGCAGGACCAGATGGAATATGTTATGAACATATAAAAGAAGCAAAGGACATTATATCAAAACCACTAACGGGACTATACAACAGATGCCTCGAAACTGGATCCATACCACAAATTTGGAGAAAATCCCTGATGAAAGTACTGTACAAGGGAAAAGGAGACCCAGAAGACCCGAACAACTACCGAGGGGTAGCGTTAGAAAACACAATGTTCAAGATACTGACCAAAATCCTAACTGACCGTTTAACAACAACAGTAGACTCACTTATCCCGGAAAATCAATTTGGGTTTCGGCCACAAAGATCAACGATACAAGCCATCACAGCACTACTAGATGCAATTGAAGAAGCATTAAGACACCCACGAGGAAAATACCATGTAGTTTTCATAGATTATAGCAAGGCATTCGACCTACTCGACAGGAGTATAATCACAACAAAACTGAGGGAAATAGTAGGAGAAGAAAACACAACAACAAGACTAATAGGAGATATCCTCAAAAGCAATAAAATCGTAATAAAAGACACGGTGTCAGAATCCGAAGAAATAACCCAAACAAACTGCGTACTGCAAGGGGACCCCATCAGACCTTTACTATTCAATATTACAACAGCAGACTTGGCCAAAACAATGGAAAAACACAAAGGGGTACAATTAATTATGTAAGCAGACGATATGACAACTGGAGAAAAAAATATTGAGGAGCTACAGGAAGCCTCCACTACACGCCAAAACAATGGAAAAACACAAAGGGGTACAATTAATTATGTAAGCAGACGATATGACAACTGGAGAAAAAAATATTGAGGAGCTACAGGAAGCCTCCACTACACAGGAGAACTGGGCAAGACAAAACAAGCTACAAATAAATAAAAATAAAAGTCAACTAATGACTTTCAGAAAAGGAGGAAAAAATATGGGAAAAATGATGAAATAAAATTTAATGGAGAACACATAAAATCAGTAAAACAATATAAATATCTTGGCTTAACACTGCAGTCCACATCTACAACATTCACGGCACACATAACAGAAAATTGCACAGCAGCCATCAAAGCTATATACACCATCCGAAACCTGCAACTATTATCGCTAGAAACAGCAATGAAAACATTCCATGCAAAAATTTGTCCCATACTACTATATGGCATAGAGATAACCTGGGAAAAACTATCGAAACAAAACCTGCGGAAAATAGAAAAAGTGAAGGCAAGATACCTTAAACTAGCGCTAGGGCTTGCTAAGAACACACAATCCAGACTAACATACGAAATCTGCAAGAAAAATTTCCTACTAGAAGAACTCAGATAACAACTGTCAAGCACAAAAAACTCAGAGGAAGTTATCAAAGAAAGAAAACAAAAAAGAGAGGAAATATGGGAAGATTTCTACAGCACTGATGCAATGACTGACAGAACCTGGACAGGACCCAACAGAAAATTACGACACACAATTACTAGGTTGGCAACACACGGATTCTACCACAAGATATGCAAGAACGAACGTTTCCACGAAGCAAATGACGCGTGTATGTGTAAACACCGTAAAAAAAAAAGTGCAGTAGATACCACATTACCATATGTAAAAACTTAACCACATCAATAACCGACTACAGTCGTGAATAAAAACAATTACTCTATGTATATATCACAATTTAATCTAAGGCTGAGGACCCACCAAGGAAATTAGCAATCGCAACGCAACCGCGATCACCGCGATTTCCGAAAATTATCAGCCTGAGTTGAACACGTGTTACTGAATGGAGCAGAGCATTCCGAGCAAACGGAAACGCAACTCGCGGAGAGACTGAGAAAATCAATTTCCAAGCAACGGAGCATGCCTGGCTTCTCACAATTGCTTCGCCGCGTGGTTACCTATTATCAGCTGCTCTGTAACGCGCCTCAGTGAGTCATTTGTTTCTTAATGTTATGTTGACAACACTCTAATGATAAGAAATAATGCCAGAGTTGGCAACGTCGTAGTAAACAATTTTCAATAATAGACTGCGCTACATTCGCCGTTCCTAATTTCTCTATTGTTGTGTGTTACTATGGTTATGCATGTAAAAACAGAAAAGCTCTGTTGTTATGTGTGTGAATACATATAAAACATTTTTTGTGTATCAAAAAAGTTAGTCTTGATAAAGCAGGGTTAGATTGAACATTGATTCTTACTTATTATTCGATCCACGTAGAAGTGAAAATAACAGGTAAGGTAGCACGAGAGGTTGACGAATATGCTAATTTTATTTTTGTGCGGTTACTTAAGCAAGAGCTTGGTATATATGACAGAAGCCACTCAGAGTATGATAGGCGGGACAAAATAGATTTGGCTTGGGAAAGAATTTCTCATGAGACGAAGTAGTCTGGGTCCCGCATTCAAATCTACACATTCTACAAATCACTACTTCAAACACTAAGCCTACTCCACTACAGTCCATTCGCGGAGACGAGACAGCGTAAACAAAGCAAGCCCCGCGTCGCCACAGCTGACAGCAAGGAGTGGACAAAGCGCGCAGTTACTTCAGTGTACTCACTGCATTCGGACGCATGTTAACCTGCATTGAGATTGAAGAGTGAACTTTGGACGCCCCATGCAATGGTACACCCATCACGCGATCGCTGCATGATTTCATTCAAAGAGCGAAGGATATACCGCGTGCATTTGTTTACGAGGACTCTCGCGTCTCCGCGAATGGACTATAGTCGCTGTTTGGTATCGGCGTATAGCAACGGAGCTTAAAATTCCAGCCACCGACTACTGACTAAATTTTCGACAGACTGCTAAATTGCTGCTGATCCTCGTTGGCACAGCAATTCTTGGTTTCGAGTCCCATGGGACTCATGGCCATATTTCACTGTTTGACGGCTAAGGAAAGACGACATCGCTGGTTCATGTTTAGTCACGTCCAGTAAATTGCTGCTGGAACTCGCCAGTAGACTCGTTGTTGGTTTCGAGTCTTTTCGGGACCGTTTGGAAATGTGATCTCTACGACGACAGGAGGTGGTCGTCTGTCTGAGTAGGCGCCGCATTTGTTGTACCGTAATTTCGCTTAGTATCTTCCAGTGAAGTCCGATAAATTGCTGCAGGCCTTATCCAGCACAGTCGTTCTTGGTTTCAGAAACTATGACCATTATTTTAACCTTCCCATACTTAACGTGTTTTGAAATGTGTCCTCACCTTCGACGAGACGAGGAGTCTGAGCACTACTGGAGAATAACTGCTGGCTCTCACTCGGCACGGGTCGTATAGGAAACATCGTTTCCACTGTTTCTATCTTGTTATGTGCTGCTTCTCCGACAATTCCTCTACTGTTGCTTATTGATTAGTTGCTGTGAAACCGTGTTTGAGGTCCGATGCCTAGCAATTGCTGTTTCCTCTGGCTTTCATGTCACAGTATTATCCCTTTTGTACTGCCAAAGAAATTCATTCATTCATTTATTAATCCTGTAGATCATGATACAATGATATAGGATAAGTCTTTCAGCTAATATACATTATTAAATTACAACAATCTTAATACTAAAAAATTATATAAGATATACAACATTTTATACATTATACACTATATACTTCTGCTTATATCAGTAGCCAGTATTCGAGAATTCATCGTTCAAATAGTCCTCTGTTGAGTAAGAGCACCTCTGAATATGTAGCGTCTTCAATTCCCTTGTGAACTGATTTTTGTTTTCTATTTATTTTATGTTGTTAGGCAAATTGTTGTAAAAGATACAGCCCGCTAATGAAGGATTACTATTACGAAGTTCTGAGTTGTGCTCATATATATGATAGTCTTTATTATCTCTTGTGTTATATGTATGTATTTGTTCATTCACTGTGCAGTTTCACTATTTCTTTTTTACAGATAGGATTGTTTCTTGTACATATAGAGAATATACTGTTAGTACCTTTAGATTTCTAAAGCTATCCGTGCACGATTCCAAACGTTTTAGCCCTACAGTGTATCTTACTGCCCTTTTTTGGAGTACGAAAATTCTGCTAGTGAGGGTCTTAGCACTATGTCCCCATATTATTATTCCATAAGATAGATGAGGATAGATAACAATAACAATAGTAATTACTATTACTGCCGCCACAAAACTACTACTATTGCATTGTGGTGTCATCTCGTCAAATTTATTATAAACTGAGTGCGTGAATAAACAGGAGGTAACCAGTAACCGATAAGAATGAAGTCATGATTAGTGTGTCTAAGGAATATTCAATCAATGTTGATGTTCTTTGTCCAGGGAGATCTTCTTGTTGAGACGACGCTAGAAAGAAGAGCTCTCTAAATAAACGTTTTGATTTATAGTAATATGAGTAATGTACCCAACCAAAATGGATCAGGTCTAGAGCAGCAAGTAAGTACATAGTATCAGCATTTTCAGTGTAGAATGGTTTAGGAACAACGAAAATGAACGCCAAAGTGAAGCCGTAGGCCTACAGAAGACTATGTTATCGATTTATTAAATTGTGCAGTCGTTGAATTTTCTTTTTGTGAGGCAGTACGTGCGGTGAAAGTGATTTCTTGTACCCGTCATTAGTGTTAAGTTATATAATGAGAAACGTTTATGTTGCGTTGCAGCGAAACTAGAGAAGATCTTGGAGGATTTGATCTACGTGTCTTGTAATGGCGGCCTGTAACCTAGTGGTACAGACACATGAATATTTGATTTTATCGGAACACCATATTATTATACAATACGATGCCGAATTACCACAAAATGTTTGGTGTTGAAATGTGTTACAAAGGCATTTTTTTTTTGGTAACTTGCAGTTACCGTCCATTTTATTAAAACGATATTAAATGCTACCATGACAAAATTTTTGTTAACTGCGTTTAAAATCCAATCAGATAACGATTGATTTGCTTACAGTTTGCTGGTCTGGACTTGCAGGGCGGCCGCCAGCAATCAGGTGGCCGCTACGTGCCCCCACATCTTCGTAACAAAGTAGCAAGTAAGTGAATGTATATTGGTTGTAGCTGCTTGATAGTGACACATTTTGATATTTTTGCAGACCTTCGGCATATAGTGACATAGTACCTTGTTTTTATATGCTGTTTTAATAGTGTGAACTTCTGGTAAAACTAGTATGGTACTCTGAAATTCGATTTGAACTGTGAAGGTGGTGTATAGTCATAGGTTGTAATATTAGTAGACACCTGGTTTTGGTGAAGGTTTGGTTAAGTTAGTTTGTTTGGATGACATTAAGGCTGTGTTTTAGTTATAGCATGGCATAATAACAAAATTGATGTATTAGTTTTTTTGTTCTTTATAATGAGATTTCTCTTTGCTATTCAGAGCCTTATGCAGGTGAGTGATGTTCTAGTGTGATGTTGATGTTCTAGTGGGAATATTTCGGCTATGTTTCACAATCAAAACACCATAAATGAATGTGATGTGTGCTGCTGATGTTTCATTTTGAGGATGTGTTGTAGAATTTGAAAGTTCTGGCATCATTTAGCTTTGTGTTAAAGTATATTTCTTGGATTCCATGAGATTGGTGAGTCGTAGTTACAACTTATGTGAACTTTCCCATGTTTATTTTTGCAGAAGTGTGTTTCCTTAAGTTTATTGAATTTAGTAGATGTTTGTTAACTCTTTTGTACATTGATTTTCTCCACTTTTGGGCATATTGTAGATGCATTTGTAGAGGTACCAGGAATTGGACTGTAACAGATATTAATGTTAGTAATTTTGAACAGAATATTCATGTGAACATTAGTTTTAATTTCTTTCTCTCTCTTCATTAGCAGACTATCAGGGGGGCGAGCAACATTACTACGAGAGTCGGGATAGTCGGGAATACCGCAGCCAGGGGAGAGGGAATTATTCCAGAGGTAAAATAAAATCGTTCATATTTAGTTTTATGTAGAAGAAGGTTCAGAAGGATCATCGTATCTTTAGTGGTGGCGGTTTATATATATATAGCATGCATAATATAATTTTGAATGTAACATGAAACTTGGGGGAGGGGGATTATGCAGCTTTCTGCACAAAGGTTTAATTCATATTTATATTTGTTTGCTTAGAAATGTGTGTTATGGTTTATGGTCTGTACATCTGTGTTCACTTGAAATATTTATTGTTAAAAATGTAATTTGTGATAACACTTCATATGCATCCTTATAAATGACATGCTATGTAACAAATAAGTGTATTCTGTTAATTATTCTATATGATGTATGTTTGCCTTAGCTTCGAAGTTGATATTTACTTATCCATACGTATGAATGTGCCTTGATACTTAATTAAATTAATGGAGGAGAATATTGGAACTATTTTTTAAGTAAATGTTTGATATGGGAGAAATATTACAGGTATAATTTAATGCCCATTTTCAAAATCTTTTAGGTGTACAGACACCATTTTGTCAGGTGATGTACTCAAGAGATTCTTTTAATCAGATTTTTAAAGCTTGTTTTCAAAAATTGATTTGTTAGCTCTTTCTCGTTGTCTCATTATTAGAAATTTCTGCAGCCAATACAGCCACTAAGTGAACTGTTTTGCCCAAAAAGTTGCCGCAACAAAGACATAAAGCGAGAAAGCAAAATTTTACTTACAAGCACAATACAAGAAGATAAATTCACTGCTTTGTAAGGGTGTGTGACATCATGTGAAGAGAGGTAGTTATGTTTCATGGGCTCAAATAGTCTGTTGTTCTCTATCACAAAATATACACATGTTCCTTTCTCATAACTATCACTTAATCTTCTATGTACATACACAATAAACTCCCAAAAAATATGGTACACATTAAAGCCTTTTGAAGTTCCTGAGAGAGTGATATCTTCTAAAACATTCCCCAGGACACATGGCCAGTTGATTTATACAAGTGTTAGTTTATTTTCTGTCTCCCTTCTCATTGCTGCACACACTGCAGTCTTTGTTTCTTTGTGTCATAATGGTAGAGGAAGTGAGGCACTGTATTTAGTCTCTTTTCTTCCTCTGCTGTCCCTGGATGTGACTGCTTTCTTGGGTTGCGCACATCAATCACCTACTAGATTTTCAACAAGAGCTCGTTATTTGATATGTAAAATTTGTTTCACCCCCATCTTTGCCTTATGTCTGCTGTACAAAATGTATGAATTTACAATGGACACTTCCAGGCACCAGAAAATGAGTTTTCTCCACCACTTCAGAGGTTTCTAAATAAAGCGTATATTGTGATCACTGCGATTTACACCACACACATATGCCCTGTATAGTCAAGCGCACACATTGGCTTTTCTGTTGCCCCTCTTTCTGAATGGTCATAATTTTTTCTGTTGATGAGTCATGCGTAGATATGAGAACTGCTGTCTTGTCTTTCCAGCTCATTACCTCTTCTGTAGGCACAAGTGTCACCACTCTTCACTTTCTTTCATGGCCCCCTGCCTCACTTGTGTTGGATTGCTAACTCAACCAGCAGTAATAATGCCTATTGTGTGGCATTTTTGATTGTCAAATTCTTGGGTCAGCTGAACACTAGTATAATATGTTAGTGAAGAGATGGTAGCCCTCAACACGAGACATACTGAGTGGTAGTCTGTCCATCAGTAGACCATTGAAGGTCACGGTGCTAGGGCCAGTTTTTTGGCTCACCCCTCATACTCATACTCATAGTCTGTCCATCAAGGAAAGAACTATTCTTGAAGTGAACAGTTTTCCGAGTATGGCAAGTTACACAAGTCACCTGTAACGTTTCTGTAATATAGAATTATAGTGTGAACATAACCAGTGTCACAGTCAGCTAATACAAATAATCTGATGCCCCAATTCATTGTTTTTTTTTATTATAAGTTCTGAAAATTATTTTGCCGTTGAACCCAACTCTTGATTCATTTGTTGCAAAATTTTTACCTGGCACAAAATATTTCTGAAATTGTTTCTCTTTATGTTCTATCAACCCATATACTTTGTTCTTTTAATGGCACAATTGCTTTCTTCGGTGGTATCATTTCCCACATGTGTCATCCAAAATATCTGTAAAAGTAATCTCTAGAAGTTATGTCACCAAAAATTATACCTGTGTTTTTCACTCACTAGAAGTGTAGTCTTTTATGTCAGGTAATGGGATTAGGCCCATATTCATAATTACACCTAAAACAGAACAGAAACATCAAACCACCTGCTTCAAATGGACCACAGGCTTAGCTGAAGTTCTGCAGTTTTGTGTCTCACGTACCTGCTTGTCCCTATAACAGTGTTCTTCAAAAGCTCAGCATTGAGAAATAAACTAAAATAATCCGTGGGTTCAACATCTGGCAGAAGGTTAAATTGTGACCTTGCATTTTTAGTAAATGTGTATGCCTTGGGTTTCTTTTCACCTATTGTTGCGTGTTCCTACCCATCAACACACACAACACTTGTTTCACTTTCACTTTCCATCCTTCGTTCAGTTCTTTACTCGCAGTTTCTCCTTTGAGTTCCAAATCCCTCTCATCATCAGAGTAAATATTGAGTTCTTCACTTAACATATCACTAAAAGATTCTTCATCTGCATCACACAAGGGATTATACAGGGTGATTCAGAAAGATGGACACATTTTCAATTGGCTATATTTCCTGAATTATTTGTTGCATTTGAATTCTGTAAATTACATTTGATTATACAAACATGGAAGTTTATAGATGATCAATGTGTCCCCCTCCGGCTGCACAAATAACATCTAGAATGTAGCTGAATTCATCCCACGCTCGATGACAAATATCTTGCATCACTGAGTTCACCGCAGCTGTGATGCGGTTTCTTGGGTCATTCAAATTTGTGGGAAGAGGTGGTACGTAAACTGCATATTTCAGGAATCCCCACAAGAAAAAGTTGCAGGGTGTGAGATCAGGAGACATCGGTGGCCAGAAATGAAGTGCCAGGTCTTCATTCCCCATGCGACCTATCCATCGTTGAGGTAGAGATTCATCCAGGAAACGTCGAACATTCAGGTGCCAATGGGGTGGAACTCTGTCCTGCTGGAAAATGTAATCTCCTGAATCTTCATTCATTTGAGGAACAAGCCAGTTTTGCAGCATTCTAAGATACGTTACTCCAGTAACTGTGTTTTCATCAAAAAATAAAAGTCCATAAACCTTTGTTAACGATATTGCACAGAACACATCAACTTTCAGGCTGTCCCTCACATGTTTGAGTGTTACACGGGGATTTTGTAGGCCCCATATGCGAACATTGTGCCTGTTGACTTTCCCACTTAGCTGAAACGTAGCTTCATCGCTAAAAATTACACGAGGCAGAAACAATTTATCTAACATGCTTTTGAGCATACGGTCACAAAATTCTACGCGCTTTACCTTATCGTTTGTGCGAAGAGCCTGTACCAGTTGTAGGTGGTATGGTTTGTACACTAACTGGTGCCTCAGTACACCCCAGACAGTTGTTTGTGATAGTCCAAGTTCTCTACTAGCACTAACGGGTTGACTTCATTGGGCTACGCTCAAAGATCACTCGAATGCGCTCCATGTTCTCCGATACACACAACTGGCCTGGGCTTTTACCCTTACACCGAGAGCCAGTTTCATCAAATTGTTCATTCCAACAATAAATGATCTTCCTTGTTGGAGGTTGGATGTTAAACTTACGACGAAATGCATGTGCGCCGCAGTCGCAGACTCACTTTTACTGAACTCACGAATGCAAAAAATCTTGTGTTGCATAGTAGCCATCTCACTTACAACTGACACGGTGCTGGAGTGCTCTAGCAGTAGTATTAGAAACTTTACACATCCTCTTTCAGATGTACTTTACAGAATTCAAATGCAGCATATAGTTCAGGAAATATAGCCAATTGAAATTGTGTCCATCTTTCTGTCCATTCTTTGAAGCCAGAAGGGCCAGGGTTGCTGGAACATAAAGCCATGCTGCTAACATGACACACTGTACTATATAAATAGCATTCGTTCCTCAAGAAGTTTAAATCATGACTTCCAGAAGGCAGAAGAAGGCATACAAAAGATTCATGAATGTGTTGGCATAGTATACAATGACAGGTAGTGACATATGACTGGAGAAACCTGAAAGAAAGTGTATTGATCATATATTGGCATTCGTCCATCGAAGAACTGTCACCATATCGATTATGTAACAACATATATCTGGAAAGGGTTAACCCATTGAATTAAGTTGTGGAGGTTTAATTTTTTTAATCAGAGACTAAAATTGAAATTCTACAAATTACGTAGGGAAGTCAAAAATTATCTGCACTCTTGTTTTTCCAATTTATATACACAAAAGTAGGGGTTGAACAAGTACATAATTTTTCTACATAGTCTCCTTACTTTTCGATGCACTTGGTCCAGCGGTCCACAAGCTTGTGTATTCCCTCCAAGAAGAAGGTTTTCGGTTGGTCACACAACCCTTTATGCACCCCTTCCCGCACTCCTTTGTCTTTAGAAAATCGATGACCTCGTAAAGCATCTTTGAGCAGGCCAAAGAGACATCTCTTTGGCCTGCTCAAAGATGCTTTACGAGGTCAGAAGGGGCGAGATCTGGGCTGTAGGCAGGGTGTTCCAGCACCTCAAAACCCAGTTGGTTAATGGTGTCAGTGGTTTGGGCAGACATATGTGGGCATGCATTGTCATGCAGCAACACTTTCTTCGAGAATACGCCTCAGCGTTTGGTGCGAATAGCTGGCTTCAGATTGTTGGCCATAAAATCATTGTATCTTGCACTGTTGATCTTACACCATTTTCCTGGCTAGTCTTCCAGTATAAGCCCTTTTTGAGTCCCAAAAAACAGTTAGCATTACCTTTCCCTCGGAAGATTGAGTCTCAAATTTCTTAATTTTCATTTTGTGCATCCTGTTGTGTTACAATATACAACTCTTTTATTGACTGTCACAACACAACA